CTCGGAAGGCGATTGCAGCGACAGTGGCCAGTCGAGTCTTCCAGGTGCGTACGTCGAGTTGCGGACCGCACCTGCAGGATGGAACGCGAAAGGAGGAGAAGATGGAGGTAGGGAGGGGGCGAAGAAGCGATCCCGGAGAGGCGAGGAGATATGCCTCACCGACCAGCGCGAGCAGCATCTCGAGGTCCGTGGACTTACCAGTTCCAAGTTTGACTTCCGCTGGTTCGCACGCCTGGGCCCAAATTACGCTCAGATGGAGACAAAAGGTGGCAGGCAAACGGACGGACAGACGTACACGAACATACGCTCAGTGAGGGCACCGCAACCACCGCATGGACCCTCTCGCCGCAAATCGACCCTGTACACAAGACGCCAGCCCACCGACCTCTCCGTGTATGTGTTGCTGCTTCGCGTGCAATCTTTCTCCTTCCTTCTCGCGATTCGTTTGGAAGACTTGCACCCGACCTCATCGCGTAGAGAAGATCTGGGCAAAGAGGAGGAGGAAGAGGAAACACAGAAAGCGCGCCAGTAGATGGCCCAGAATACACTAAGGGGGGGGTGTTCGAAACCCCCTCCCCTCCCCCCTCCAAAGAGGGGTGAGATTTTCGCCCCCCCCCCTCCCCCCTTTGGAAATGGAAAGGGGGGGGGGGTCGAACCCCCCCCTCCCCCCCCTTTGCGCCGAACAGGGGGCTGGGGAGGGAGCCTTTCGGGTAGTGAGTAGAGAGTAGAGTGTTTGGAGTAGCGATTGGTGAGTAATGGCTATTTGATAGTGAATAGTAGTGCGCAGTGAGTCGTGAGTGGTGAGTAGTGGGTAATGGGAAGTGGTAGTAGTGAGTAGCGCGTAGAGATTAGTGGGTAGTGAGTAGTGGGTAGTGAGTAGTGGGAAGGAAGTAGTGAGTAAGGAATTGTGAGTAGTGAGTAGTGAGGAGCGAGTAGCGCGCAGTGAATAGTGCATAGTGAGTCGTTAGCAGGAAGTAGGAATGAGGGAGTAGACAGTAGCGCAGAGCGAGGAGTGAGTAGTGAGTAGTGAGTAGTGCACAGTTAATAGAAAGTAATGAGTAGTGAGTGGTGAGTAGCGAGTACCGAGTAAGGAGTAGCGAGTAGTGAATAGCGAGTAGGGCGTTGTAAGTAGTCTGGAGTCAGTAGTGAGTCGCGAGTAGGGAGTAGTGCGTAGCGGGTAGGGAGTAGCGAGTAGTGAGTTGTGAGTAGTGAGAAGAGAGAAGTGGGTATCGAGTAGTCGGTAGCGAGTAGGGAGTAGCGAGTAAAAAGTAATGAGTAGTGAGTCGTGAGTAGTGAGTAGCGACTTGCGACTAGTGAATAGGGAGTCGGGAGTAGTGAGTAGTGAGCGAGTAGTGCGTAGAGGGTAGTGAAAATGTCCTATTGGGTAGCGAGTAGCGGATAGTGAGTAGTGAGTTTTGGGCAGTGCGTAGTGAGTAGTGAATTGTGAGTTCTCGGTAGTAAGTAGTGGATAGTGGTAAGTGGGTAGTGAATAGTTTTCAAGGAGTACTGAGTAGTGGGCAGTGAGTAGTGTTTAGTGAGTAGTGAGTACTGAGTACTGGGTAGTGCGTAGTTAGCAGCGAGTTGGGAGTAATGAGTAGAAAGTAGGAAGTAGTGAGTAGTGAGCAGTGGGAGCGTAGTGAACAGTGAATAGTGGGTAGTGAATAATGCGTATTGGGTAGCGAGTAGGGAGTAGGGAGGAACGAGTCGTGAGTAGTGAGTACTGTGTAGGGAGTAGGGAGTAGGGACTAGTGAAGAGTGAGTAATGAGTTGTGGGCAGTGAGTAGCGAGTAGTGAAGTGTGAATAGTGAGTCGTGGATAGTGTTTGGTGGGTATTGAGTATTGATTTGTGATTAGAGAGTAGTGGGTGGTAAGTTGTGTTTAGTGAGTAGTGAGTACGGAGTAGTGGTAGCGAGTAGTTTGTAGTGGGTAGTGAGTGCTGTGTAGGGAGTAGGGAGTAGTGGATCGTGAATAGTGAGTCGTGGGTAGTAAGTAGTGAGTCGTGAGAAGTGAGTAATGAGAAGTGAGTAGGGAGTAGCGAATAGTGAATTGTGGGTAGTGGGTAGTGCGTAATGAATAATGAATACTGCTTGGGGCTAGGTTTGAATTCGGGGTTAGGGTTAGGGGTTAGGGCAAGGGTGAGGACTAGTGTTAGGGGCGGTAGGGGTCGGGTTCCGGAGACCAGGGGCGCCGTCGAGAAAGGGGGGCGGGGGAGAGTTCCAATTTGGCAGCCAAAGGGGGGGAGGGGGGGGAGGGGTTCGGTTTGATTTGACACGTCGCATCGCAAAGGCTAAGACCAGCAAGGTAGAGAGGAAATCGCTAGCAGCCCTACCCAGAGGGAGGGACACCAGCAACTAACTCCACACCTCACCAGACGAAACCGATCCACCGCCGTCCACAGCACAGGTGAAGTCCACAAGAGGCACAAGCTCATCGAGCATCACATCCCTATTATTGGGATGGATGCCTATTCTAAGCCGAGAGAGGTTGCTACGCGCGTGGTTGGAGGAAGGCTCGCCCTTGCAGGCCTTCGCCAGCCCACCTGGCCTAACTCCCTCGGAAACACTGCCACAGTCCATGCAGCAGAAGAAGGTAGCCCCGTCGGGGGTTCCCGTCAGGTGGATTTTGCGCCCCTGAGGCTCGTGCACAAGGGCGCGGCTGAAACCTAGACAGTCCGCAGCTGGCTGCGGAGGGTCCGAACGCACACGAGCAAGACAGCGCGTGCAAGCCCACAGGCCTCGAATCCACTTGAATTCGTGGCCTCGATCTCTTCGCTGGGGCGCCTGCGCCCCTCCAACGGAGGGCGCAGTGGACGGGCCCACAGGGGCCCCAGCAGCGGCGAGGGCAAGAGGAGGGGGGGCGCCCCGAGGAGGGGGGGAGGGGCTTGGATCTCCCCGGCCAGCCACGCCCAGCACCTCTGCGGCGGCGCTGACGGTGGCGGCACGGGCGGCACTGCCTCCAGCAGCGGCGGCACTGGCTGCTCCAGCGCGGGAGGCGCCTACCCTTCCCAGACGGCTTCTGGGCCTGGCTGGCGCAAGACTGGACCAAAGCAACAGGGCTTTGGCCACGTAAATCAGAAAACTCTTGAGGCTGGGCGCTTCAAAGCTAAACTCAGAAAGCTTGTTCTCCGACGGGCGGAAATGGGTCATCGCAGCCGCCTCTGCAGCCACATCAGCCCAGTGATTGCCTTTAGCCTTATACCAGTCCTCAGAAAAAGGCTCAAAACAATCAGCACTCTGATGACCCTTCACTTTAGTGATAGCAAGAGCGTCTTTCCTGGGCGGGTGGCTCAGAGCAAGGAGAACAGGTCCAGCATAGCATGCCCTTCTGTCAGACACGACCTCCAGAGGGTTTTCGTTCACGGCCACAAGTCCTTTGTAGTCCGTGCAGAATTCTGACGCCGAGCTCGCGCACTTGCAACTGGCCAGAAACCCAGCGCGCTCCGAAGCAGGACTCGCCTGTGGCGACTTGGCCCCGACTTTGCCCGAGATGATTGCGAACGGTTCCCCATCCTCCTGGAGGCATACACATGCCCAACCTGCGCAATGATGGACGTTGTGACCTTCCTTAAAGCAGGACCCGTCACAAAAACACATCTTGTTTCGGAGCGCCTCCAAGGGGGTCAGGTTGGGGTCCGCACAGGAGAAATTATAGCTTTCATGCCCGAAGCCATCGGGCGGTCTCAGGATATTCTCAGGAACCAGCTGGAAACCAAGCATAAGAGGGTTCTTCTTATCTTCTCGGGAGATCAGCTCAACCACATCTTTCTTCAGGAACTCATCCCTTGCACTGCGAGTAGCAGAGCAAGCAAACAGACGGTGGTGAAGGTCGTCCCAAGGGAACCCACACAGGGGACACGATACATCTTCCACGCCATAGCCAGATCTAGCTAGGCGCCACTTGGACCACAAGCACTGTGTAACAAAGGCCTTCAACATGCACTTCTCAGCATACGACAAGGTACTGCCAGGAGATATCAACTGGCAACAGACAGACATGTCCAAGATCTCACCAGAGTGCCCAAAGTTGCGAGCAGCCTTCGCAGCCAACATGCGCACCCACGCAGCTCTCAGATCACAAAGAACTTTGGCGGGAGACGCGCAAGTAAGGACTATTGCATGGCCCTTGTGGTCCTCCAAGACTAAGGGGGAGACGAACTTCCAGGAGACTCTAATCAAGGAGACGACGGCAGCCCCGAGAGGTCCTTTGACCTGGTTCCAAGCCCTCGGCGGCCTCGCCAGGATGTTCGAAGCGAGTTCCCTCAGCCGCGGCAGCGAGGGTTCGATTCCAGGGCAGGTCGCAGCTTTTCAAACCAGGTTCGTCCAGGTAATGCCAGGGCCCAAGGCAAGCCTGTAGGTGGGGTCCTGGAGGGCTAGAAGCGACAACGCGCGGGACCTGGATGGGCACGCGTTTCCGGCTGTACGCAGGAAGAAAGAATGCGCTGCTGCAGCTTCCCGTGCGTCCAACCCCACCACCTCGGCCCCGTAATGCCCGAAGGATTGGATACCTGTGAGGTACACCCGCTGCATGTTGGCGCCTCCCTTCCTCGTGGCTGCTAGCCTTCGCCTGCGACGGTTCAACTTCTTGATTCCCTCCTTCAAGAAACGAGCGGCACCTCTTCGACACCTGAGCTGGCCTCCCGTGGTGTCCACACCTAGAGTAGCAGCAGAGATTTCTTTGGACTTCATGTGCTTTCCTGTGGACCTGGCCAGATCATGCCTGATACTGCCCGAAGAAGCAACAACAGCAGACTTATCATAAGCAACAGCACACTGCAAGTCGTCCTGGATCGACTGGATTACCTGGGCCGAGCTCTCGACTGCACTGGTGACAAGGGTCCTAGGGTCCGAATCTGGATTCAGGATCACCCAACCGTCGATGAAAAGGAACAGGTCAGATCGACCAAGATCCTGCTGGAGCTTTGAGACAGCCCTATAGGAATAAACCTGCACCAGGAAAGTTGCAAGCGGGCAACCAGCCAGAATGCCTCGCATGGGGAAAGAGGATTCCAGAGCATATCCTTCCATCTGGAAGAACCTTTTCGCGCGGTACACGTTGCAGATCACGGCGAGGACCTGCACGTCGAAACCCGTCTCTTCGGCCCTGGCCCAAAGAAGACTTAATCGATATGGTGGTAGAAACTACTCGTATCATACAGCACAGCCGACGTGTGAATCTTCTTCCAGACATGCTAGCCGATTCAGCCCTGAAGTCTTGCATGAACACGAGCTCAAGAATGGATGCACCCTTCTGGTGACAGCAGCAACGAAGCCGATGCGATCTTTCCCATGAGCGAGCAAAACTCGGACGAAGCCTGCCATGTACTCGATACAGAGACACACACAGGCCGATACCTCGAAACTTGACCAAACCTGGCTTGTGCTTAGGAATGAAACATGTGACAACCGCCTGCAAGACAGAAGGGAGCTGCCCGTGCTGCTCGATACATCTAAGAAGCCTGGCTATGATCCTCAACTGCTGGTCTGAGCACATCAGATAGTGAAGGGGAGGGAAACTATCGAACGTCTGGGACGTCCTAGGACTGAAAGCAGCAGACACACTTTTCTCAACTCATCTGGGGTGGCGAGGGGGGCAGGCTTCTTATCTGCATGATCCACTTGCCAAGGAGCAGGAGGGGAGACATCCCCCTTCCAGAGGCGCTCCAGCCTATCCGCCTCCGCCCTGAGGATACTGGTAGGCTGCCCAGACCACTGGCCTGAGCGCTGCAGCACCTCCCCAGGCTTCCACACACCCTTCCATTTGGTCCACTTGTGCATCCAGGAGACAGAGCCTCCTTGACTGCGAACCCATTCCTTCCAGGGCTTGATGGAGCCGAGGGTGTCCCTGGAGCTTTCAGTCTTCAAAGCAATTTCAGGATCCTTCAAGACATCTCCAAGTATGCCTTCAGCAGTGCACGCGTTCAGAGACTGCTGATCTAGGTCCTGACGAAGACCCTCGGGCAACAACTTGGCCCTGTCCAAATGACAAATGAGCGCGGGGACCGACCTGCACTCAGCAGGACAGCCTTCGAAATTCTCGAGATGTATTCTAAGGTCAGCCTCATTCCTCAAATGACAACAGACGTTCTGGGCCCGTTTAACCATCCAACGCAGGGGTACCAAGTAGGACTTCCAAGCCAACTTCAGATTCTTGCAGTGCTGAACAAGAGGACGTTCACAACCCTAGCACTGCGGGCCCTCCGCGAGACAGTCTTCAGGGGGGCATCCGTCATCATACTGATGGTACGCTCCAACTCCATGGCAACACTCGAGTACACAACATCAAGAGCGGCCTGCCGAGCTTCAAAACAGGACATGCTAGGTGTGCCACTTCCCACAGAGACCCCGCATACTTCTTCCTGCTTGGATACCTGATTCTCCAGCTCATCCCAAGGCACAGTCTCCAGAGACGGCCCGAAGGGCTTGACATGCGGGATCTTCTGGCACTTACACAAGACAGGGATTGCATGGTCGGCATCGGACCAGATGTGCAACGTCACAGGAGAGTGAGGAGAGACAGGGTACGATGAGAGCACAGAGGTTGACGTAACAATGCTGGCAATCACATGAGAGAGCACAAAGAAGTCAATTGCGGTCTGAGACTTCTTCTTGCTACATGTATGCTTCGACGGAACGACCGCCTCCATTCCAGCTCGAATCAGGAACTCTGAAGTCTCGAGCCTCCTTGCCTTCATGTTCCAATCCCCTGCAATCATGACAGGTAACTAAACCTTCTCCTGAAGAGTTGGGATGTCTTCCAATAATTCAAGGTTTGTGGCGTTCGACCCAACACTCGTCTGCATGCACAGGGAGACGAGACAAAACTTGGGGGGCCCAGGGATGTCAATCTTCAGGGCACAGATGCGGTGCTGCATCGAAAAGCTAACAGGCACAGGACTAGCTCCAAGATCCTGCCCGGCCATTAACAGGATAGCCACGCCTCCAGAGGCCACCCCAGATTCCAGAACTGCAGCCATGGAGAAGTACCCAAGCCAGCCACGAGCAGAACACCATTCCTTGGCAGACTGCACGGCTTCCCCACCCTTTAACAAGGTTTCCTGCAGGAGAAGAACCGAAACCTCAAGGAATTGAAAATTACCAGGCTCATGGTCATAGTTCGCCTTAAAAGTGGCGAGCGAATTCGTGTTCAGGGTGGTCATTTGCAGGGCCCACCCTTGGCCCGTAGTTCGTCACAACTCAACATCCTCAGGACCTGCCCCCCCCCCCCCCCTCTGAATGCTGGGGCGGCTGCTGGCTGGGCGGGGCGGCGGCGGTGGCCGGGGGCTTCCCCTTCCCCACCGTTCCTCTGCCCGAGGTCCCGCTGATGACGTCGCCGCAGCGCCTGGAGACTTCAGCCTAGGATTCTGCCCTCCTGAGCTTTGCTGGGCACCCTTCCTTTTCTTGGCAGCTGCCCCAGACTTATGCTTCACGAGGGTCCACGCATGCTCATGAATATCTGGGCACTCTTGACGAAGGGCTTCCATTTGCTCCTGGAGGCTGCTGAGGTGATCACCAAGGCGCTTGTCACCTCGAGGTTCCATATCTTCGTCCGATACCTCATGCGGCTCCTCCCCCTCCTCAACTGCTGGCCGCTGCTGCTTCTCCTCCAAGGATCTCTGCAAGTTCTTCTGAGTGATCTTATTCTCCAGTCCTTCCAAGGGCTTCTGAATGGCTCCCTCCAACTTCCTGGCGTGTGCATCAAGATCCAACTGGTCCTTCATCTTATTCAACATGCCTTCCAAAGCCGAGACACCTTCCTCCAACTGCTTTTTCCCCTCAGGAGAGAGACAGGCAAATTCTGTAGTCAGAGCTCCCTTCAGACCCTGGACCCAGCGGACCACACTTTCAGGTTCAGACTTAGGAGGCTTACGCGAGGAGGACTCGGGACGCAGGCAAGCAAGCTGGGCGTTGAGACACTCCAACTGGGCTTTCGACTCACGAATCTGCGACGTCGCCTCTTCATACTTCCTAACCATGCACGCTGCCTGAGATTCCAACTCCGCAAGTGCTTCCGTGGCTGAGGTGATGAGGGACTTCTGATGCTGGATCTGGGCCGCGAGACTCTGAGCCTTTTGCGCAGGGGAGCGATTCTGGAACACCTTCTCCTTCGCAGCCTTGACTGCTTCATGGGCCGACACCAACCTGGGATCGGTGTGCTCCACTCCCCAACCCTAGTAGAACTTGACAAGATGCTGCGCCATCAAGAGGTCTTGGGAGGTCGGGTCGGTGTTCTGGGGGGGCGACGAAGGAATCGTGTCCTTATGCCAAGGGGGCAGCTTCAGACCACCACCATATTCTCCTCCTCCTGACGCTCCTCCTCCGCCTTCTTGCCCATGCCCCTTGCCCTTCCCCTTCCCCTTGCCGCTGGTCCCAGCCGGCGGCACTGTACCTGGATGCGGGGTGCCGCACAGCCCGCAGTACGGCTTGCGGCGGCTGGCCCAGGTCCAACCTGGGCAGCTGGGGTTGGGGCAGCACACAAATGCAATGGGCTTCTTATTCCAATTCCACGTCATGGCGCTCGACCGGGGGCCGAATGCACGACCAGCACGGATCAGACAGGCCACGGCAGCGGGGGCTTGCCGTGGCGGTGCGGGAGAACAGTCGCCTGCTGTGGGCAGCTCGCCTCGAGCCAGCCCTTGAGCCAAAATGGCTTGAGCCAAAATGGCTTGAGCCAAAATGGCTACGGAGGGGGGAGGGGTTCGGACTCCCCCCCCCGTTTTGAAAGGGGAGGAGGGGGGGGTCCCCGACGACGGACCGGGAACGGGGGGGACAGGGGGGGGTCCCCGACAACGGATCGGGAAAGGGGGGGAGGGGGGGGGTCCCCGACGACGGATCGGGGAAGGGGGGGGGGCCCCCCCTCCCCCCTTGGGGTCATCCAGCGGCGCGCCCTCCATAGCATATGGTTTGGGGCGGTTCGGAGAGTGTCAGTTAGTTGTGCTATTGTACAGGAGGTGCGGGGAGGGGAAGAGCAGCAGCAACGGCGAAAATTAAGAGGACGGCGATGACAATGATGATGAGACAGAAGGGGAAGAGGAAAGGGAAGGTAGGCGGCACACACTCTATGGGAAAGGCTGGTTGCACCTCTTCATCTGTCGCTTCCTCCCTCCTCCTTGCCAACCTCTGTCTCTTCATGCCGATGTCCTTCTTCTCATCCCGCCCTCCTGTTCCTCTTGCGCCCCTCCCGTGCTGTAAGCCCAGAAGGCGCTGCGCGCTGACGCCACCTTGACACTGCTGGTCACGATGTCGCCTGCAATTTCCCATGAACGAGCCCCGCGGCTGAGGAAGAAGGGAAAAATTGCGGGCAAGACTTGCGTACATATCCTCTGCAGCTTGGAGTTTCGGGCTCCCTTCCCCAGAACCCCGAAACGCACTGGATATCAATAAGCATCTGGCCTCTAGAGGCTCATCGGCGCCATCGACGTGAATCGACGTGAATAAAATCGGGCTGCACATCGAGCCGCATCGGCGATGCATCAGCGATGCGGTGCGATCCCCCGGCCCAATCTACTCCGACCCCATCTAGGAGGCCTGGATGAGCCCATCCCACCGCTGACGCAGCCACTGAGGGGGGCGGGGGCCGGGGGAGCGCGTCAGTCCATCCAGCGGCCCGGCCCAGGCCTCCAGCGGCGCGCGCAGGGAGAGGCGTCCAAGCCGCCTCGCCGCAGCCACGACGCGTGCGGCCAGGGCGGGCCCCAGACACCCTTCGCGACCCCGCGCCGCCGCGAGCGGCCGCTCCCCGCGCGAGCCGCCCCGCCGCAACCGCGACGCCCGCCCTCCCTCGACCTGCTCCTCGTGCTCGCTCCCCCCGAGGCGGTGCGGCCAGTGGCGGGCCACGGGCACCTCTCGCGACCCCGCGCCCGGTCGCCCCCGGCGCGAGCCGCGCGGCCGCGTCCGTCGGCAACGCCGCGGCCCGCGCGGGCAACTCCTCCTCCTCCTCCTCCTCCTCCTCCTCCCCTCCTCCTCCTCCTCCTCCTCCTCCTCCTCCTCCTCCTCCTCCTCCTCCTCCTCCTCCTCCTCCCTCCTCCTCCTCCTCCTCCTCCTCCTCCTCCTCCTCCTCCACCTCCTCCTCCTCCTCCCCTCCTCCTCCTCCTCCTCTCCTCCTCCTCCTCCTCCTCCTCTCCTCCTCCTCCTCTCCTCCTCCTCCTTCCTCCTCCCTCTCCATCCTCCTCCTCCTCCTCCTCCTCCTCTCCTCCTCCTCCTCCTCCTCCTCCTCCTCTCCTCCTCCTCCCTCCTCCTCCTCCTACTCCTCCTCCTCCTCCTCCTCCTCCTCCTCCTCCTCCTCCTCCTCCTCTCCCTCCTCCTCCTCCTCCCTCTCTCCTCCTCCTCCTCCTCCTCCTCCTCCTCCTCCTCCTCCTCCTCCTCCTCCTCCTCAGAAGCCCGCCTGCCCCCCCTTTTGATGGAGGGGGGTGCGGGTTCGATAGGGCGGAAAACACACCCGTCTCCACGGCCTCGTGGGCCGGGCCCCGGGGCCGCGGCCCGGCGGACACGGGGCGCTTTGTCCGCAGGTGCCCCGCGCGGAGCGCACCCGTGCGACTGCGTATATCCGCGGGATCGCGCCCTCTGGAATCCAGACCGTGACGGCCGCTCGTGATGGGCGGGGGCGGAGGGCGGCATCCCCGCGAGTCCGCCCCGCAGCGCGTCAAGGACTGGCCGTGGGCGCCCTGGGAAGACCATGGGGGCATGGGGGAACATCGTGGGGGCACGGTCGACTCCTGCGACTCGCTCGCAGGCAACTGCAACGCCGCCGCCTTGCTGAAGGCCGCCGCCGCCGTGGGCACTTGGGGGGCGTCGAGCGTCGGCGGCGGGCATCGTATGTCAGATGTGTGCCACAGGCAGTGGCAGTTGAAGTTGTGAGAAGTACGGCGAGGGCGTTGGAAAAGGAACGACTGGGAAAGGAATCCAGGGTCTGGAAGCCGGTGGAGCTCCAATCGTGGATCGGCCACGAGGATTATTGTTGTTTAATCAGAGAAGGCGTCCTCCAGGGCCTGAAGCCTCCTGGGCACATTCTGCAACGAACGCCCCCGCCAGCTGGAATCGGTTGCAGTCGTGGTCGCAGCTGTGGGCATGGCAGTGGCCGCGATGGCGGGCGTCGTGGTGACTGCGCTGCAGCAGGGGCTCGGTGTGCCGTGCGGCGCTCATACTCTGAATATTTTGCTTCTTTCCTCTCCGCCCCATCCTTCTCAGCACAAGCACTGGCCTCGTCGCTGCCGCCACCACCGCCACAACATTCGCCCTCGTTTTCCTCCTGTTCCACCCTCGCCTCCTCTTGTCCCAAGGGGGGGGGGGGGGGGGAAGGTCCTTTGCGCAGCAGCGGTACAGCACCTCTGCGGGGGGAGAGGCGAGCGAGCTGGGCTCCAAGAGGGCCTACCTCAAGTGGCTGGGTACCCAACGCAGCTCAACAAGTTCTCATCTCAGAAACCGAAGCTCCTCGCACACAAGCGTAGGACCATGGACCCACGAGCCATGCTTTAAAAATGTTGTCGTTGGAACGGGGTAGATTTGTTTTGTTGTTCATGAGCCCTCTGGCCCTTCGGATCCGACCGCTGGTAGGGTATCTTGCGCGTGGCCCGCCCCAGTCTGTCGCCTTTTGATCTTGAAGTTCGCCTCCAGGGTTGAAATGCCCCTCTAACTCCTACTAGTCCCTTCGTTACTCGCACGATGGAGAAATGCGGATCGCAGCACGGAGCGATTCACACCCTGTTCCAAGCAGTTCTGCGTGGCTGCACTGCAAAGCCTGCCCTCCTCTCTGTCGGGAGAGACTAAGCATGCGCACACAAACACTACCCAACTCTCTCTCCCTCCCTCCTTCCCCACCCGAGCCTCCCACCCTCCTTCTCTCTCTCTCTCTCTCTCTCTCTCTCCCTCGCTCTCGTCAAGATCTTGACCCCGAACGGCTCACAGCCCTGTACAAGCCTGACCTCACCCTCCCTCCTCTCGTTCCTCCACCTCGCCCTCCCCCCTGCCTCCTCTTCCGTTCCTCCTCGCCGCTTGTGGTCATCATCTGCGTCCTCCTCCTCCTCCTCCTCCTCCTCCTCCTCCTCCTCCTCCTCCTCCTCCTCCTCCTCCTATCCTCCTCCGCCTCCTCGTCGCGCTCTTGCTCCCTCCTCTTGCTCCCTCCCCTTACCCCCCCCCCTCCCCCGCCCCCCAAGGGAGTGGGTGGTGGCCTCCCTGGCCCTGCGGCGGCGCCCCCCTGCTTGTCTCTTCCTGTCGCAGGGCAGCCGCCAGAGAGCACCTGGAGAGGCCTGCAGAGCGGAGCCGAGCGCACCCGGACGGCCCAGCGCCACACTGTCGGGGAGACGTAAGACTCGGGTACGGGGGACTCGGGTTGGCCTGACGGGGGCGACCATAAAAATGACGAGACCCGATCTGAAATCTGACGCGGGCTCCCGCTGCAGACATCCCACGAAAACGGGACCGTCAAAATTCAGGACGCGCTCGTCAAAGAGATCGGCCAACCCGAGTTCCGGCTTACCCGAGTCGTACGTGTTCCCGATACTGGAGCCCGTGGCGCTGGAAAGCGCGGACTCCCCGCACACACGCCGAAACTTCACGAGGCGCTCGCGCCTCGCGCTTCTGACGGCTGCCCTGCGGCAGACCAAGGCCTCCTGTCGTCGTGGACAACTCCTCGTGCCTCGGGTCGGGTGTGGGAGGGGCTCGATGTAGGAAGAGAAGGAGGAGGAGGAGGAGGAGGAGGAGGAGGAGGAGGAGGAGGAGGAGGAGGAGGGAGGAGGAGGAGGAGGGAGGAGGAGGAGGAGGAGGAGGAGGAGGAAGTGCTTGGCACTTCTCGTCCTCCCAGGGCCCTCGCCGCGCCCGGGGACCATCCACAAGAAGACTCGGGATGTAAAGCGCCGGTCCGGGGAAAGGGGTCTAGCCTTAGGTCGGACATGTCCCCCTACAGGCGGACTTGGGAGGAAACATCAAAAATACCCCCCCCCCCAAAAAAAAAAGAAGCAAAAATAGTGAACAATAACAGAGCAATCGTCCCCATGCTATGTCTTGAATATTTGTCAAGATTCATCCTATAGAGGGACGTGCCCGACTTAGGTCTAGCCCTCCTGGGGGCCTGGAGGTCCGCAGCATTAACAAAACCGAGACGATTCGTCCTCCGCCACCCTTCTGCCGCCAAGCTTTACGTTCGAGCCTCGAGGACCGGGGATCCAATATTTTGAAACAATTTGGCCTGCATTTCCTCCATCGACCGCGTCAGTGTCTGCTAATGCTGACCAATATCTGTACTCATGGCCACCACGCCGTGCGTTACATGCGTTCTCCCCGTCCCCATTGGCACTAAAGACTCCAGAACAGCACCCAACACTCGAAAACGGCGCAACGGGATGACGAGTTCGCGCGTAACACTCCCTCCATTCGAGATGTGAGGACGGCTCGATTTAGAGGACACCTGGCCGTTCGGAGCTCAAGGCTCGGAGAATGTGTTTCTTGACGTCCCACGGGGGACGCCAAACATTATCCGCCCAAAGAACCTCGGAGGGAACTATGACCACTGAGGAGGTGGTGTCTGAAAAATGACAGATCGATGCAATGCGGGCCAACATGGAGTTTGGTGGGCAAGAGCTGGGATCTAGGTTCGACGTTCGATCGAGAATCGAGGATCGATCGAGGCGAGAGGATCGATGCAATGCAGGGTGGTAAAGCGAGCAAGTGAATTCAGCTACCTTTCATTGATTCCCTGGCACCCGCCCCCTGGAAATCGCGGCGATGAAGCTTAGCTCATACCTTCTCTTCGACATGCTGCAGGAGTCCATCAAAGCTTCCTGCGGAGGCTGTGAAAGCGCACCGTTAGAAATCATTCAATGCACACGTGATATTGGCATGGTTAAAGATGGCGGAACGTTGCCATGGTGGGGCCAGCTGTCAAAACATGATGAAGGACATCTGCGAAGTCGCCGCGCAAGAAATGGTAACAGTAATGCATGTTGGTGTGCTCCAGACGATGTTTGAAACAAAAAAAACATCAGTTTGTCAGTGGGTGGGGCAGGGCGGCAGGCAAGCCCTGAGGAGAGGGGTGGCCGGAAGAATGGACACGATGAACAATTCAAAGGATGCCATAGTCCCAGCACGCGAGGTTAGGAGTGATGGGTCGACACTCAAGACAGGCACCCGTCGAAGGCGCTGTCTAATCGAAGCAGCGAAAGCGAGCGATGCTCATGCAGATCAGCACTAGCACATCATGACAAGAGCCATCCGCGATCTGCTCAACTGATTCCCGATACGGCCCAGAACATGCCCCCCCCTGGGCCCGGCGGCTACCTTCCCGTGGCCCCAAGGACCCGCATATACATCTATGCTGACACAAACCCAGCTCTCTGACGTCGCGATTGTCACATCGTGAAGCGTTCAAACTCGGAGCCGTTCGGGCCAATTGGAGCCGCCTGGGACCACTTGAGGCCTTTGGGGAACAAGTGAGCCAGTTGGGAGACTCGTGGCCTGTGCGGGACACGTAGCTCACTTGGAAAGTGGGGCGGCCTGGCAGGACTAAGGACCCCCGGGGAGCTGTTGGGCCACCCGAGGCCAATTGAACCACGAGAGACCACTTAGCTGGCACAAGTGTGCTGGATGCCCCCCACACTTCCAAATTGATTGTGACTGGCTGGCCAGACTCACAACTCTGAGAACCAAACGGCCGAGTGGCCCTCTCGATTCTTGACCCGAGAGACCGCGCGCAAAAGAACAACAATCCGAATGATGATGATGATGATGATGATGATGATGATGATGATGATGATGATGATGATGATGATGATGATGATGATGATGATGATGATGATGATGATGATGATGATGATGATGATGATGATGATGATGATGATGATGACGGAATTGGTGAGGATGACGGCAATCGCGACGGAGGGCACTTCCGTCCAGGGCCCCTCAACGCGGGGAAGCCGAAGAGGTAGATGCAGGTGATGAGCTTGTTGTTCAGCGCGCAGAAGCTGTCATGAAGGTCCACATGGGGACAATGCCGCCATCACCAATCTCATTTGACCACTCTGTTTCTCGGCCGTGGCCTGCTACTCCACGAAGCCGAAGCCCTCAAACCGCATGATGGGATAAGAACGTTAACATCTGCCACAAAACCAATCGTCGGACATGAGCTCGTCCCGTGTAATGGCGGTGAAGGTTCGAACCGTGGAACTGACGTGGCTCTTAGGCTCATCCTGTATAGAACGTGGCGCTTATGCCTTGGAGCGCGAAGCCCATGCCGTGGAGCGTTGAGATCGTTCCGAGCAGATTGGGCCTCCACAGAAGCAACACGGTGTTCATACAAAGGAGCTTGAGGTTCGCCCATTGGCTCTCGGCGCTCAGCTCGTGAAACTGTGGGGAGAAGTCCATGCCGGAGCTGAGCCTGGGCCCACAGCCGTGCAGTTGCTGAGCCACGCCTGCGTCGTCGGCGCGTGCGTGCAAAGCGTAAGACTGCACAGAAATGTTTATCAACCGACGTAGCCGTCGAGGGAAGTGCAACTGGCACTAGAGATGCGACGGCGTGCAAAAACTGACAGCATGCGATGGCGACCTGGTGCAGCAGCTCGGCGCCAAGGTCGCCAGTTGCGCCACCGAGCACCTTCGGTGTAGTGGTAAATGCGCGCGGGCACGTGCATAGAAGGCGAATGTGGAGGACTTCTTCAGGTTGCCGACTCGGCCTCAAACGCGAGGCTGCCGACTCGAGGGCCAGATACCTCTCTGGGCAAAGAGCGCATTCAGCGAGGCGGCTGAGCCACGTGAGCCAAACGGGCTTGAGCTGAACTTGCTACAGATGGGAGGAGGATAGAGATGGGAGTGATGCTTGTTTTTGCATGTGCTGGATGAGCGGCCGAAAAAACATACCACAAGCCATCACAATGACCGTTCACCCTGTCGCGATCAAACATTCAAGAGAACACAAACATGTGCCAGACATCGCGTTGGTGGCTCTTCCAATGGAGCGGTGGCTGCAATGCCGTCTGGTCCGCATTATCCACTCATGGTTGCACCGGCTGATTCAAAGCCTGGCCTTCAAGAATATCCATCGGCATTGAAATCGTCAGTGATAGCTCCGTTTGTATCATCACACAAGCATTACTTCTCTTCCGTAGTGCTGCATGGTTGTACGAATGTATTTTTGTTAGCTCAGTTCTCACCTCGGACGCTGGCATGGACATTGCCTTTATCCAGTCAGGCAAGGCATTCAATTTACCCCAACGCAGTGCGTGTCCGCATAATTATCCTTTCACAACATTCTTAATGGTATTGTCGATGGCATCGCAACATGACCAATCGTTATGACCCCTTCGTCTCTGCAGCACTGACATCTTACATGCATTTTCTTCGGTGATGACGTTGAACTGCTCCGCGGCGAGTTGAAGGTAGTCTGCATTAGCTTGGCTCCGCAACCAGTTGTCATCCATGTAATTGAAATTCATCGCTGCACCTCAGACAAAGCCACGTTTCTCACATGCATACCGCAACCTACCTAACGCAATGCTACCATGGGTACCCTGTGAACCACTGGAGCCGATGAAATATGACACCGACTGCTGCTGCTGCTGGACACTCTGACTTGACTCATGGCATACGCGAGCAGCAAACGCTTGGAACATCTGCAATGCAGGAAAAGCTATGTATACACAGCGTGTCCACATGCTGCACTGCCGATGCAACAATTCATGCAATGAGAGCCGACAGTATTCGCAAGCAACGAGCTTCAGCTGAACAAGTGAGCCAAACTTGTCTGCGGTTGCTTGGTAAATATGCTGCGGGGCTCGTTGGCTAATTGGCGGGTTCGCTGCGTCCAGATATCCTCCACCTAGCACGTCCGCAACCTTACCCACGCATGTCCTTAGACGCACGTGCCCGCTGTAATCCAAACCTTCGAATAGCTCTACCCCTGAATGATCTCACCCCTTCGCTACCTCGCCCCTCCGAATATCCACCCTTTTGTGAACGCATTTCTTCCGTGGCCTCACCCCTTCGCAACCTCACGCATCACCCGTCGGTGTGTGCGCCATGCTGTTTTCCCCTCCCCCTGCGAACCATCACCCCTGCGTGATCCGCCAGCGTGCCTCCTGGCATTTTGAGGCGTGGTTGAATGCCAAGTGCTGTCTAGCAGGATTCGTGTAGTCTTCTATAAAGGGGCCCCAGAACACACAAATAAATACACACAAATAAAAATATTCCCCATATTTTCCTATATTTTTTGAGTTTTTGTCTTCCCCCCCACTTCCCATATTTTCCCATATTTTCCTGGGAGTGGACGATTAATTGTGTCTGTGTGTTTTTCCCCCTCCTGATTCTAAGGGACCCGCCCACCCCTCGCAGGCGCCCGCTTGCGTGCACCACACCCTAATTCCTGGAGGTCTCTGGGCCGGCCACTGCCTCTCCCGGGGGTAGCGAAGGCTGCCAAGGCGGCCGCAGAACGCTATCCGTCATCAGTTCCGTCATCACCATCATCACCACCACCATCATTATCAACAACATCACCATCAGCATCCGCATCACAATCCCCATCACCATCAACCATCGCCATCAGCATCACCACCACCATCACCATCATCGTCACCGTCATCATCACCACCATCATCATCGTCATCAGCATCATCACCACCACCATCACCATCATCATCATCAGCAGCATCAGCATCATCACCCTCATCATCATCAGCATCATCATCAGCAGCATCGTTGTCACCATCAGCATCAGCATCATCATCAGCATCAGCATCAGCACCAACATCAACATTATCACCATCATCATCACCACCACAATCATTGTCATCATTGATGACAATGATGGTGGCATCACCATCATCACCATCCTGACAATCGCAACCCAAACTGTTAGGGTGGCACCGTGGCGGGACTGGCCGCAACTGTACATTCCTCCCCCCCGTGACTTCGCCCCCGCGCGACCTCGCTGGTTCGCAACCCCGCTGCTGCACAACCCAGACCATCGAGTCTGCGTCACCCCGTCGCGCGTGACGACAAAAAGAGACACGGCATAACCATAACATTCCGGAGCTTCGCGCGGATTTCTTGGATCGGCGCGGGGGGCGCCGCCAGGGGGTCCAACGCCGATCCCGCGTTGCACTGGAAGAATTTCCGTCTGTGCAACTTTCTCTTCTCCGGGTGGCCCCATCCATCCGCAGCGCCACCCCCTCGGGTGGCCCTCGTAGTCGTCGTCGTCCTCCTCCTCCTCCTCCTCCTGGGGCCTCGTCCTCCCTCAGAATCCTCGGCCTCCTCGTCCTCGTCCCCGTCCTCCTCCCTCCTCCTCCCCCTCCTCCTCCTCCTTCTCCTCCTCCTCGGACTCCTCGTCCTCGTCCTCGTCCTCCTCGTCCTCGTCGTCGCCGCGGTCGTTGTCCTCTTCCTCCTCCTCCTCCTCCTCCTCCTCCTCCTCCTCCTCCTCCTCCTCCTCTTCCACCTCCTCTTACTCATTACTCGAGTGACCCTCCTTCTCCTCGGGTTTGCCCTTCTGCCTCGTCCTCCTTCTCACCCTATGCCTCCTCGTCCTCCTCCTCCTCGTCCTCGCCGTCGTCCTCGCCCTCCTCCTCCTCCTCCTCCTCCTCTTCTTCCCTCCTTCCTCTTTCTCCTCCCTTCGCTTGTCCAGATGTTGCGCTCCAGAAAATCGGGCCCGTGGCCCCACCCGCGCCGCGCCTCCCCGCCTGCTGACTCCCAGCGGGCAGGGCGGGGGAGGAGCCCCCCCCCCGGCGGCTCGGGGCGGAGGGGGGCCTGCGGCAAGCGGTGGTCCCACCAGGGCTCGAAGACCTGCGCGGCGGCGCCAGGCATGGGGAACGGATCGGATATACACTCCCAGACATGATCGCGTCGTACAAAGATCAGGACGGGAGGTTTTCGTCTCTTTTCGGCCCATGGGGGTCCCTCGCCGGGCCCCAGGACCGTCAAAAACGACTCGGGACGAAAAGCCGGTCCCGGGGAAAGGGTTGGGACTTCCGGTGACGCCGTCCTGAAAAAAAAGGACGTCGCATGTCTGGGTTCAAACCGCAAAGAAGGATGGGCCACGTTAACGTTTTTCGAACGAGGCTGGCCAGCGAAAGTCGCTGACGATGGTCCGAAGGGGCAAGGATGCAAGGATAGCCTTGGGAAACAAACCATCCTTACTATGCGGGTTGACTGTGGGGACAACGACTGCAGCAGTGGGAGGCAGATGCCTGCGACAGCTGTACTGATCTACAGGGATCAACATTCGCTGGGTCCCAGCTTGCTCACAGGCAAGGGGGGGGAAGAGGACGGAGGGAGGAGGAGGAGGAACCCATGTCGCCTGGGGGGAGGAGGGCGCGTCCGATGGTCTCGGCTAGACTTGACGCGACTGAACACTCAGCCGCCCACCTGCCCTGAACATGTTCAGAGGAGGAGGCGGCTGAACAGCAAGAGAGAAGGAAGGGGCGGCGGCCCAGCGTGTGCGCGAGGAACGGGCCGAGGACTGGTCATGTGTCGCCACCACCGCGGCGTGGCGAACTCGAGACGAGAAAACATAGGAGCCTTGAAGATAAGACAGATCTGGAGTTCACCTCGGAACTCGTGGTAAACATCCACAGCACGGCGACCCTAGACGCATGATGGGACCAATAGGAACAATGGCCCGATGGAGAGAGCGAGGAGGTGAAGCTGACGGAAACAGGATAGATAGTGGACGATTGATTCTGGGGCGCACACTTCGATCCCAATGCATTTGTTGGTGGTCCTCGCACCAGCTATCGGTTCCAGGTGTGGCCATAGCTGGAGAGGTGCAAGACCCGGCAGAACCCGCCTCAGACAAGTCCAGCGGTCCTACATCACGTCATTGACAACAGCGGTCCTATCAAGGAACCATTCTGCAAGCCCTCTTCCGATGAGCGGAGCGATGCAGTCAGGGAAGAGGAGGAAGAGGGTCCGACAGCTCGGTTCACGCCTTTAAGGGGACGCATCCCTGGGCGCTGTAGCACCACCAGCTGCCTTCTGAACGATGCCTCGCGGGATTCTACCCCGAAGGACCTGAGCGGGCTTCCACGGACCACTGCCGCCCGTACACATGCGTGACGGGGGGGGTCAGGAGCCATGAAACATTGCATGACTGCATGTCGGCACGCCCAGAAAGTGGGTGACCGCTCCTGCCCGGCAGAGTCGGCCAGAAAACTGCACTCCTCCGAAACCAACCGAAGCCTCCGCCCACACCCCCGCCACTCCCCAAAAGCAACGCGACTGGCCCGCCATGTATTCGCCAGACAGCTGACTTGGGTCGGAACTGGCGCGGCACTGGGCATCCATCTCCGTGAAAGTATTGGGAGGGAGCCTGAGACGTCCGTGGAACGCAAAGCCTTCCTTGGTCTCCAGACGCGGGTCGGGGGGAGGGGGGGGACCTGCGCCACGTGCGAAAGGCGCGGGAGGATGACCACGAGGTAGAGCCGCGCGGACGGCCCGGAAGGAGCCCTGGACAGAGCAGCTTCCCGACACCTCAACCACATGCGTTTGTCCTGGGCACTTCTGAGGCGAGATCGACCTGGGATCCCATGAGAACGCCTTGGCACTTGGTTGCGCCTTCGATTTTGAAAAACTCCCAGCCGGGGACAAACTGAGCGTCCCTGCTCTCGCCCTCGCGCGCGCGCTATCGTCGCAAGGCGCCAACAGCGGAACAGAGCAGAGCCTGGCAGGCTGCCGCCGGGTCCTCAGCTCGCTGAAAGGTTGCATGCAAGTGACAGACGCTGGCGACATTCACCGGAATGGCAAAGGGCCCTGGAAACGACAGGGCCGTTTTTTTACCGGTTCCGTTCTGCCGTTTTTTTGCCGGTTCCGACGCCGTTTTTTTACCGGTTCCGTCGCTGTTTTTTGACAAGTTCCGGCTCTGGTTCCAATCCTGGAGCCGTTTTTTTGCCGTTTCCGGTCGCCGTTTTTTTGCCGTTTCCATTTTCAAGGGACATTTTTTGGGAAACGGTAAAAAAACGGCCCTGCCGTTTCCAGGGCCCACAAGGCCCCAGCATCATCGGCGCGCGCCCCGAGGGCCCCCTCGACGCTCGAGGGGAAGACCCCATGCCAACGCCGCAGGCAAGAATTCGGGCCCAAGGCCCAGAGGACCTCTGACAGCGGGCACCCTTGTGGGGCGCCTGAAATGATGGAGAAGAACGCTTCGGGGGACTCACCTACAGTCGGGGCTGTGACCTAAGGAACCCTACATAAGGAACGAGGCCCCTTTTTACCATAAGTTAAAATTCGATTTCCTATCAGAAACATAAGGAAAACCTACGGCACGCTGTGAAACACTTAAGGAACGCGGAGCCCCTCCCCAACCAAAAGGGATCCTTCTTCAGGCCCCCGACTGTAACGCTTCGAGGGACTCACCTACTCTAGCATGCCCGATCGCGTCGCGCGCTCGCCCCTCGCGCAACTGAAGGCGCGAGGAAGGGGGGGTGGAAGCGCTCATCCGCGCGGCGAAGGAAGAGTTTGAGTGCTTAGAGAGGCGGCTCTAGCATCGAGGCGGACAATGCTCCGGAAACCAATCGCCCGCGCCGGAAAGAAGTCGGGGATCTTCTGACCCGGGTCAATCCAGACCCGGGTCAGCAGGAACTAAAAAATTGCAATGCAGGAAAAAACTGCAACGCAGGTTTTCGCAGACCCGGGCCAGCCAATATGCGCGGCCGCCTCGCGGCCACAAGCGGCTCGCCAACCCGGGTCAGCCAGAGGGGGTCTTCGCAGGATCCTGCAAGATCTGGCGCTCTGGCTGACCCCCGTTTGCATTGACCCCCGTCTCAAGGCTCCCGAAGAAGGCAAGCCGACCAACATCCAGGCAATCTTCCGAGCGCGAACCTTTTCTGGGTCCGGCTGGCGTCGCTCGCAGCTGCCCCAAACCGGTTGATGTCGACAGCAGCCGCAGACCCTGAGCTTCCGGAATCCCACCAGCCCTCTGGGCAACAGGTGGCCCAACGGTGTCATTCTTTTCAATTCTTATCACCCCTCCCCCTACCCATCGGTCGGAAGAAGTAGGTAGAAACATGAAGTAGGAAGGCGTTGGAAATAGATTGGGCTTCCGCACGCCTCCTGAAGAGGAAGGAAGAGGAAAACCACTCGACTCTTGAAGTAGGAAGGCGCTGAAAGTAGATTGGAATCTGGGAATCCAAAAATACCTACTCTCAACGACCGATGGGTACCCCCTCCCGTGGACCCGGACGGGGGGGCTTCGCGAGCGGTCAGGGCGCCCAAGGTGGCCCAAGATGGCTGCGGGAGGGCCTCAGAGCCCAGGATGGCCTCCGGGGTCGCTGAAGATGGCCCAGCATGGCTCAAGATCGCCAACAACGTGCCTCCAAGAGGCCCCAAGAGGCCACAGGACGGATCCGAGTGCTTTTGGCAACCCCTCAGGCCCGTCCCTGGAAAAAAAAACAGATCCTTCAACAACAACCGAAGGACAACCAATGATGTTTGCCGTCTCGCCTTTTTGCTTCCCTAAGACGGCCCAAGAGAGCTCCAAAAAGAGCCCAAGAGGACCCAAGCCTGCCCCAAGAGCGCCCAAGATCGCCCCAAGAGGGCCCCAAGAGCGCCCCAAGAGGCTATTTCGATGGCCCTGGAGGAGCAACGGAAATCGAGGACCCCCCCTCCTTTGATCGATGGTCTCCAAGATGGCCCCAGGAAACGCTCCATAGCTCCCAAGAGGGCCCCCAAAGAGCCCCAAAAGGGCCCCAAGACCCCCCAAAGAGCATCAAAAAGGCCCCAAGATACCCCAAGAGAGCTCCAAGAGGACCCCATATATCACCAATACAGCCCCGTAGCTCCAAGAAGGATTCCGATGATCCAGGATAGCCTCCAAGATAGCCCCATGGAACCTCGTCCCCGTTGTTTGCATCCTCCTCCTCCTCATCCGCGTCCTCGTTCTTGCCCTCATCGCATTCCTCTTCATGTTCTTCCTCTTCCTGGTCATCGTGGTCGTCGTCGTCGTCGTCGTCTGCCTCCTCCTCCTCCTCTTCCTACCCTCGCTCCCGCGCGGGCCATGGGGATGGCCCCAAAGAGCCCTCCAAGGTCTCCCTTTTGCTCCCTGGGATCTCTCTTTTTCTCCCTGCTTGCCCGCTTGGGTTCACTATGTGTGTCTCTTCGTCCCTTTTCCCGTCAGCCCTCATGGGTAGGGCTCCTCAGCGGGCTGGTAGGGATTCGCGAACAAGGGCCGCGTGCACTCTTGCGGCCGAGCGCAGTCAACCAGGTCGGTGGCCTTGTCCCCTCGCGAAGAAAAAGTTGCAGGCAATCGTTGAAGTGAATTGGCAGGTTCTGGCCACGCGCCATCTGCGCGAAGACTTCCTGCAACACTTCCGCGATAAGCGGGTGCCCTCCCCCAGGCCCTAGAGGGGGGCGACTAGAGCCTGGGGCAGAGTCCGGGGCCTGCCTTTTAAAAAGGCCAGGCGAAGATCGTCAACTCAGGGGGCGAGGGCGGATGCGGACTATCCAGGCGAGGCGCTCGCGTGTCTTAAAAGGGGCCTGCCAGATCCTTCTGCGCGAGCGCGGCAGCGAGCTGCCAGTGGCTCTTCAGCTCGCCGACCATGCCCACTGGGTCCCCCGCGGTCATGCGGCATGCGCGCGCACTCGGTCGCGCTCGCATGCCAGAGAGCTCCAGGGTCCGCCTCCTGGAACTTCACAGCAATGTCCGCTTGACCGTGGCCTCGGCGTAGCGTCTGAGTCGGTGCACGCCCGAGCAGCGCCGCTCATGCTGCCTGAGCCCTCGAAAGACATTGATCGGGATGCCGCAGTCCTACCTCCGCCCCGTTGGTGACCAGCTCAGCAGCCCGAGTGGT